GCTGCCGGGACGGGGATGGGGACGGGGACGGGGACGGAGATGGAGATGGGGATGGGGATAGGGACGGGGACGGGGACGGAGATGGAGATGGAGATAGAGATGAAGATGGGGATGGGGATGGGGACGGGCATGGGGAGGGGCTGCCCGTGATCTGGCAGCAGTGGAGGGAAGCACAGTGACTGTCTGGAGTTGCCAGGGACACACAGTGCAACAAAGGCAGGGTTTTGCCAGGGACATTGGGCCGTGTGGAGGGGCAGGGGCCCTGCTCCCCAGAAAGGGGGGGCCCAGCCTGGCACGGGCGTGGGGGAAGCTGCAGCTGAGTCTGCTGCGGCAGGAGGGATCACAAAGCCATGGGCACCTGGAAAACATTTGTAGGGCAGCGAGTGGTGGCTGGTGCTGCACTCCACGGGCCTCTCCCCAGCCAAGTTCTGAGCCAGCCGCAAACCATCACGGATTTGTCCTTCCGGAGCCAGTGCTGGGGTCAGGCCGTTTGCTTGGAAGCTGGAGTTAGCCTGGGGACCGGAGGCCCGTGTGGACCAGTTGCACGTTTATGTGCCTCCCTGGGAACCAGGCAGTCAGAGGGACCGTCCGCCTGTCTGCTGCCGAGGGCTGCTTTGCTTTGCTGTGTGTTTTGTTGTGGAAAGAGCAGGGTTTGGTTTCAGCCTGTTCCTTTTTCTTCCTTGCAGCACTTTTATGTATGCAGCTAGAAACCCTCCCCGCCTGCCCGCTGACAGCTGCACAGGAAGACTTCAGGGATGTTTATAGGTTTTTTTCCTCTCTCATTTTTTCCTGTGGCTGCTGGGGCCTGTTGTTAAGATAAATCAGACTTCAAACCACAGTTCCCGTGTTCTCAGGCTGTGGATGTTTAACTGCTGTTTCGGAGGGGGTGTTTCAGGGTCTGTGAAGGAAGGTGGGTCCGTCTCTCCTTGGTTTCCAGGTCCCCTCTCCCTGGTGCCGTGCCTACCATCGTGGCGGCACCGGCTCTGCCCAGCCAGGACAGAGACTCCCCAGGGACCGAGCCCAAACAGGGCTGGGGCTGGCCAGGCTTTGGCGGGGGCTCTGGCCAGCGGAGCCAGTCCTCCGAAGGGGCCCTGGCCCTGAGCGGTGGCAGATGAAAGGCTCCTTTCTTCGGGCTCTGGGATGCTGGGAGCGTCCCCTCCCCCAGGCAGGCATTTGTGGAGGGGATCTGTCAGGAGCATCTCAAGGTTAGGTAAATTAAGTCGCATTACCCATGCTAATACATGCAGCACTGGGAGAGCCTCGCCGAGGGCCTGACTCTGCTCCCTTGTGCTGACTAACGCCTT